GAACCAGCATGATTGGACCTTGGGAATGGGGTTTTATAGGGTAAAAATGGGTTTTTCTAATTTTTTGTCCTTATAACACAAAATTTATAAATTTTACTCCAGACCTTTTTAAAGAGCTAAAAAAAAAAATAATTTAGTATATCAAAGTGTTTGAAAATGCAAAAAATTGTTAATTTAAAATTCCCATGTTATTCTTATGGAGAATATTGTACAATTTTGTTGTTGGATTGTTTATGGATATGTTTTTATCAAACTTGGCGGATTTATTTATTTCATATTAAGCTATTGATATTTTAATAAAAAACACACTTTATTAGTTTTTCTGTAGCACTTAACCTAGGTACGCGTTAAACGTAAATGTTAATTTAATAGATTAATTGAAAATCAATCCAGGCAAATGGAAATTTGCTTAGTCGGCAGGTTTGCTGCAGCGGGGGGGGGGGGTATATATATATATTAGCAGAGAACCCGTACTTCGTACGGTAAGTATGGTAAGTGGTGATCGATTTCGACTGGACACTCCAATCATCATCAGACCCAATAGGCGAAATCCATCACCACTTACCATCTTTTCTGTATATTCACCGTCTTGCGAGTAACAGTATAAGCGTAAATATATGTTTTAAGTGTTATAAGACGTTTCTTTGATTTACTTGCCGTAAATTTATTAACACGTACAATGCTGATCAAGAAGTTATTTATAACATTAGGTTTAAAGAGTACCCACTTAGGTTTGCTGCTTCTGGGAGGGTAATAAAGGGTGTAGTAAATGTCAATAGCTTAGCTTAAAATAAATTTGCCAAGTTTGATCCAAACAATATATATATGTTACACTCAATCTCCGAATTCGGACAATGTCCGACCCACTCCGCGAGGTGGATAGTGTGGAATACCCACGTCGCGGAGTGAGCATTTTATTCGGACATTGGCCGAAGTGAAATTCCCAGACCGCGTTGTGGGTAAATTGATTTACTCAAATGCCGAAGTCATAACGTTCTTCGGCGATTGAGCAATTTTAAAATACCCACAACACGATGTGAGCAAGAGGGATTGCCCACGTCGGGTTGTGGGTATTTCTAGTTTGTGCAAATGCCGAATTTACGTTTAGACATGTCACCCCTCACCATTTGCACTATCTGCGATTAGGATGGACGGACCTGCACCTGCATTGTATTTTCTTTACTGTTGCTGTCCTGTAGTGATACGCACGTGATCAAGTTAATATATGTTCAGTGATTACCTCTTGTGAGATATTGTTTTGGTCTGTCAAACGAGCCAATCAAGACGTCAGAGGCCAATGTGGACGGGCAAATCAGAGGTTAAAAGAGGTCGTCAACCTCTTAAAAAAACAAGGTCTTATAAGATATGGTTGCAAGAAGAACTGTTTGAGTAAATCATGTAAATGTATTAAGTCAAATGTAAAACGCAATTTTAAATGCCATGGTAGCACCTCTTGTGCCAATAAGTAAAAGAAAGATGTAACAATAACTGTGTGATAATCAGCGTTTTAAGGCTACTCCTATTTTTGTAAAGCGGAAAAACATTATTTCAATATGTGTAATGGACCTTTTTATATTTGTTCCTATTTGGTAATTTTCAGTTTTCTTGTATTTTCTAAAATGCTATTTATACAATAAATAATTAGAATCACAAACAAAATTTGCATTTATTTTACCTAGTGATTGTGGATTTCATGTAGATTTATGGGTATACGGGTGTTTATAAACTACTAGTTGGCGTTTGCGCAAACTAGAAATGCCCACTACCCGACGTGGGCAATCACTTTCGCTCACATCGTGTGTGGGTATTTGGAATTTGCTCAATCGCCGAAAAAGGTTTCGACTTCGGCGTTTGAGTAAATCAGTTTACCCACAACGCGGTCTGCGCATTTCGTTTCGGCCAATGTCCGAAATAAAATGCTCACTCCGCGACGTGGGTATTTTACACTATCCACATCGCGGAGTGGGTAGAAATTTCGGACATTGTCCGAATTTGGGGATTGAGTGTAACATATATATATCTATCTACATATTAATTACGTAAGGCGATTCTTTGTGTCAAAAGTGTGGGCGACTGGGATGTCGTAGAACAACAGGAGAGGGCTCAAATTAAAGGTCTTTATCCCGTGACGGCGGGAAAAATAGTGAAATCCTCAAAATGTTATCACAAAATTGGATACAACGTAAAATGTTCTCCATAAGAATAGCATTAGAAGCCATTTACTGCTGATTTTTGTTTACTTCAATACAGCTGATCGTGATTTATCATTAAGCAAATAAGCAATATTACATTTGGATTACTCATTTGCCAATCAATTCTGCAACTGCAATGTACTGTATGTATATAAAACGTTACCTAGAATAATTAAGACTTTTTAGTTACGTCTTAGAATGTTGAAATCAATTATTTTACTGTGCAATTTGCAAACTTGTGTATTTTTAAGTAAATTAGTAATGTGTATGATAAGTAGTAGAATCATAGGAGAAGGAATTGAGCTTCTAATGACTGAAAAAATAACAAAGTTTTTTCTTCTAATTTGAAGGTTATTGTTGTGTTGAAGTAATGTTTAACATGAAATAACAACATTGACTAAATAATAAATTATTCAAACTTAAAAGGGAAAATTCTGCTTTGTTTTGATTTCAAAACATATGTTAAAGATTTATTCTACACTTTTTTTTAAATTTACTAACATTTATATTTGAGATTTATTGTAGTGTTTATATTTTGTATGAAGTGGAATTACCTCAAAGGCTACTCTTAGAAAACAACCTGGGAATAAAGATGAAATAGGTTCGTACAGGTATTTGTTCATTATGGCAAGTTTCAATTGGAAAAATAAAATTGTTTGGCGATTAAGTCCAAATAATATAGCATGCACGGTGGTAAAGGGAGCATCCATATACAGGGTTGTAAAAAAGTCCCAGGACAGTTAAACATATAAAAAAATAATGTAGATAGAGCTACAATACTTGGTACAAAGTTAAAGGGCATAAAACTCTATTTTAACACATATTCGGTGTTCCAATAACTCTTCAGGGGGACGGCCTACAAGGAATCGAAAGAAAATCTTAAATGGAAGCATAGGTCAATATGCACATCAAATTAAAGGTCTTTTTTAATAGAATACAATGCCGCAAATCGCACGCAAAATGACAGTTGTTCAAAGATTCATTTAATTTACATTGCTATTATACGCTTACTCCTCAGGGGGCACAGCCCTAGGAATCGGAAGAAAATTGTTAACGTAAGCATAGATCGATATGCACTTAAAATTAAAGGTCTTCACTAGTAGATTACGATGCCGTAAATTCAAGCTCAAAAGAATGCCTGAGTAAAAACTGGCAGTCGTTCAAAGATTCAAAATGGCGGATTTAAGAAATCTTTGAACATCTGCCATTTTGCGCAGGATCAACCTTTTGAAGTGCAGTTTGCGGCATTGTATTCTACTAAAAAGACCTTTAATTTGATGTGCATATCGACCTATGCTTCCGTTTAAGATTTTCTTCCGACTCCTTGTGGGCCGTCCCCCTGAAGAGTTATTGGATCACTGAATATGTGTTAAAATGGAGTTTTATGCCCTGTAACTTTGTACCAAGTATTGTAGCTCTATCTACATTATTTTTTGAAATATTTAACTGTCCTGGGACTTTTTTACCACCCTGTATAATAGTAAAACCTAGAGGTAGTTCCGTTATCCAAAAATATGGATGTCGAAGATGCTGATGAAAATTAATTTCATGATTGGTTTCGTTAACTGGGTAATGGAGCCCTAACCAGTTGCAAAATACCCCCGCCGCAGCTACTAAATTATTTGTTTTTTTAAGCTCTTTAAAAAGGTCTTAAGAGAAATCGGGAAATTTTGTGTTTTGAGGGTCAAAAGTGAGAAAAACCTATTTTTACCCCATAAAACCCCCCGTAAAGCCCCGTTCCCATGGTCCGATCGTGCTGGTTTGCGAACTCATTCAAGTTTATCCCGCTTTACACCTTTAAACCAAATTTCATCAAAATCGGACAAAAATTACTCAAGTTATCGCGTTCACGGACGTATATATATATATATATATAAGTCTATATATATATACATATATAAAAATTTGAACGAATGGTGTTTTTGGCCTCTGGGGACATCAAAATGAAAAAGTAAATCGGTCCCGGGTCTAGGTCTTATCGTGCCACCTACGGTAATAGCTACTTCCCTATAGGGAAATTCGCTAAAAGAATTAGGAATCAGCCGATGATTAGGCCTATTTTGATAGAATATATAAAATCAATCGCACCTTTAGGAGGAATACCACCACATAAACTTACAGTATTTTTTTTATGTTGATCAGAAACTAATCTAGGGTTAAGTTTTTTCAATGGGATGCCTTTACTTTACACTCATTTTGTTAAACAATAACTGGGATAATTTAGCGGTTTTGGCCAAGAAATAAGCTTATCTCACAATACACCTATATTTGCCTTTTCATATTTATTTGACAGAGACAATTTCTAAAATTCCAATCATGGAAGCTTTTATTTATCCTCATTAACCACAAGACCAAAGCTACCTTAGTAAACCAGTATTTATTCACAAACAATGATATGTTTGCTGCCTTTTCATGTTAAACCTCTGGAGTGATTCAAATTATTTATTGAAAATAACATCAACAAAAGTGTCGTAACCTAACCGTTACGTTAGAAAAGTGGACAGTAATTATGAAAGAACCACTTACGATCGTTAGTGAACATAGAAGAAGGAGCCGTGACGAATCATCCCACTTCAGGGCTCAGTGCACAGTGCAGCCACCCCGCAAAACATAATAACTCTTCTGTTACTAATAAATTATGACTGTTCATATGAAACTATAATGACTTCTACTACACTCGTCTTCCCCATAAAAAAAAATCAATATCATAAATTCAAAATTAACTCAACTTCCAAAATAAAATAAATTCACTTTCAATAAAATGCAACCAAAATTTCTTCTTCCCATTATTCATTAATAATTTTAATTTTACAAGTCCAGCCTGTGAGGCTTTCGCACAGTCCGTCCAGACTTCCTCAGCGAGGGTGGTGGGCTGCACTGTGCTAGCGGCGACGCAGGAGTTGGCTGAGGCTGGGCTTGCCCTAGGCTCTCCCTGGGACTGGTAGTAGGCCTAGGTACAGGTGACATCATCAGGGGACTAGTTGGTCGATCCTCCGGCGGGGGTGAATTCTTGGGTACTTGGGGTGATACAACGGGATCCTTGGGTGATACAAAAATCTCCTCCTCTTCTGCATACCGAGCTCTCAAGTGATCCGCATGACAAAATCGGGGTTTCCCACCAATAACACTCACCAGATAGGTGACCGGACTTCTCTTTAGAATTATTTTGCCAGGAACCCAAGATATCTTTTCATTTCGGACAGTTTTGACATAGACTGCCTGACCTTCTGAGAAAAATCTGCTTCTTCCCCTAAGCCTATCAGCTGCGTTTTTTTGTTCCCTGTGTTTTTGATCAATGGATGACTGGAGATTGGGTTTTAACATAACCAACTGTGTACGAGGCTTCCAAGACAGGAACATTTCTGCAGGGGTTAAGCCAGTAACTGTATTTGGAGTGTTGCGGTACGCAAACAAGAAATTATCTAATTTCATTTGAAGAGTGGTACGCTGAGAACGCTGATGTTCCTCGATCACTTGACGCAAAAGGTTTTTCTTGACCTTCTGAACACTTCTCTCTGCAATTGTTGTTATGCAAAAAGGTTTTGAACTCTTGACTAGTAAAAGATCTTCCGTTGTCTGACACCAGTTTGACAGGCAATCCATACGATGAAAACATGGTACGGAGTTTCTCGATAACCTTGGAAGAATTCATGGAACTCATGATAAATACCTCTAACCATTTAGAGTATGTGTCAATCAAAACTAAAAGTTGCTGTCTCGACTCTGGATCCTCTGCAAAGTCAATGTGTATCCTCTGCCATCGGGTTGATGTTGTAGGCCATTGCTGCAACGGTACTTTAGGTATCAAATTCCTAGTTAACTGACGTGGGCCACCACGTCTTCAATCGACTTCTCCATGCCTGGCCACCAGACATAACTTCTAGCCAGCATCTTCATGCGTGTAACTCCCGGGTGTTGATCATGCAACATTTGAAGCACAGATGAATACAGTTTCTTTGGAATCACTACACGAGAACCCCTAAGCAAACAACCTTGTTCCACGGACAACTCGTCCTTCTTCCTTAGAAAAATGGCTAGTTCCGGCTCAACCAAGCTCGTCCAGCCGTACATCACAAAATCTCGGACCTTCGAAAGAATCGGATCCTTATCCGTCATTTTACCTATATGCAAGGCAGTAATAGGTGCAATGTCCTTGACAACACAGAAATTGTTCATCACTTCTGTACAAATATCTACATGTGGAACAAAATTAGCATCCAGCTCTATAGGTTCCGCTTCTGCGAAGGGTAGCCTAGACAACGCATCAGCATGAGGGACATCCACTCCCTTCCGGTACCTAACCTCCAAATCATATGCCGATAGAATCAAGGCCCATCTCTGCAGCCTAGCTGCCGCCATACTAGGAACGCCCCTTTTAGAGCCAAAAATAGCCGTCAACGGCTGATGATCAGTCTGTAAAATACAATGTCGTCCATATATATACTTATGAAACTTTTTGACTCCAAAGATGAAAGCCAGAGCCTCCCGATGTAACTGGGAATAATTCCGTTAACTGGAGCTTAGCGTTTTCGATGCAAAGGCAATTGGCCTTAGGCTAAGGTTAACAGATGTTGCGATTCATCCGCTACCGCCAATTGCTGATACGCATTTGAAAGATCAAGGCAGCTAAAAACTGAGCAACCGCCTAGAGTTGCAAAAATATCTTGAGCCTGTGGAAGCGGATAATGTTCCATTTCAATACACTGATTAAGGGTAATTTTATAATCGGCACAAAGCCTAACACCATTAGGCTTAGGGACAACCACAAGTGGAGTGCTCCACTGTGAATTAGTAACTCTGTACGCAACATCCTCTTGAACCATTCGGTCCAACTCAATCTCAACTTTCTCCCTTAACGCAATAGGCACTGGTGTCGCCTTACAGAACTTAGGGACTGTCCCTTCCTTCAAAACAATATGAGCCTTAACACCCTTAATTTCGCCCGTTCCAGGCTGAAAAACTGACCTAAATTTACTCTTCAATTTAGCAATATCCACATCAGAACTATGATCCATAGTGGCTTTACATGAAAACACGTTTTGCCAATCTAACCTCAACTGACCTAACCAGTTTCGGCCCAACAGAATCGGTTGACTCTTACTTTATAAACTAACTACTGTCAAAGGCAAACTCGCCTGCTGATTATTATATTTAACATCGACATTCACTTGACCCAGAACAGGTACATCATGTCCTGAATAAGTAGTAAGTTTCACATTTGCTGGCCTAAGTTTGAGGTAAGAAAATTTTTCAGGCAGAAGAGGAGGAGATTTTTCATAAAATATCTCAGAAGGACATATAGTCAAGGCACTGCCTGTATCTAGAATCATTTCTAAATATACATTATTAGCCACTAGGCCTACCTTATAGCCATTGTCTGGCCCTGATTTAAGGTTGTACAAACCTATCTCTGCCATTGGAACTTCTAGGCCTAGGCCTACCTCTTCCTCCACTTGATGGACCCCCATCCTAGGTGTCGACTTTTTACCATGGAAGCTAGAAGATTTCTTGGCTTTACACACCTTCTAGAGATGACCTACTCTCTGACAACCGTGACACTTGTAACTGGCGAACGCACACGCACTAGGCCAATGACCCGCAGAACCACACCTCCAACAAGAGTTTCTAGGATTTTGGTTTTCACTTCTCCTATGCACGAAAGTTTTAGGCCTATTTTGACTTTTCACATTGATTTTCGCAATGTCCCCACGAGGTTGCCCAAATAGGCTTGACTGCGATTCGGCCTGTTCCAGCAATTCCGGTTTTTAAACAAATTCAGAATAACGTTATCCATGTGACAGGATAGGTATCTCTGTACAACCATATCTTTTGCGTAAAAAACAGTTTGTTGTTCGTCTTTGTTTGCTTTTTGTAGTAGAAGTCATTATAGTTTCATATGAACAGTCATAATTTATTAGTAACAGAAGAGTTATTATGTTTTGCGGGGTGGCTGCACTGTGCACTGAGCCCTGAAGTGGGATGATTCGTCACGGCTCCTTTTTCTATGTTCACCAGCGATCGTAAGTGGTTCTTTCATAATTACTGTCCACTTTTCTAACGTAACGGTTAGGTTACGACATTTTGGTGCAGTCGGTAATAAACCTTTTTATCATATTTAGGGTAGTACGCGATAACAGTTGTTGTTTTAGTGCGTTATTAGAGTTGAGATGATTAAAAATGGCGAGTATTAGTGTTGGCAGGATTTCGGAATTTAATCCAAGTGAGGAGGACATTGTGCCCTATTTGTTGCGCCTGAAACATTTCTTCAAAGCGAACAATGTTAAGAAAGAGAACGAGGTGTCGGTTTTAATTACAGTTATTGGTCCCAGGATTTTATCGGTCCTTTCCGATTTATTATCACCGGTAGAGGTAGATTCTAAGACCTATGATGAACTTGCAGGGTTGTTGAAATTACATTATGCGCCCAAGAAGTTGGTTGTGGCGGAGCGATATGTATTCTACTCTCGTGTGCAAAATCCGGGCGAAAGCATAGCGGAGTTTGTGGTTGAATAAAACATTTGGCTAGTTCGTGTAAATTTAGTACCTTTTTGAAAGACGCTTTGAGGGACAAAGTGATTTCCGGCATTTCTAATGAAAATATCCGGCAAAACGTCGGTTGGTGAGTCGGTGGCTCAGTTGGTAGCGTCACGGACTTTGAGCCCAAGGCAGAAGTGTCGTGGGTTCGGATCCTGGTCACTGCCACAAACTTTTATCAGTACAGTTCACCTTTGTACTGTACCGGCTCACCCCTTGCTTTGCTGAATACGTTCCACGCACAGATCTGTAGTCTATGTGGACAGGCAAGTGCAAGGTTAAAAGAGGCCGCCAACCTCTTTTTTTTAAATAAAAAAAAAAAATTGTTGTTGGAGGAATAAGACTTTGATGAAATTTATGCGTTGGCGCTCAGAAACATACCCGGGCCCCATGATGTAGGCCGAAGCTAATGCACCAACCTTTGGCACATCATGGGAGGATGACTTAAGGTCATCAGGCTCACCGGCTGCCGAAGCAACCCCTTCGGAGAGAGGGTTTCCCCTCAATCCTAACCAGGGATACCGGCTACTTGTTTAAGCGTCACTCCACCTGGGTTCCCTCAGGTACAAAACCCAGAAGGACCATAATGGAATGCCCTGACGCATTTAGTGCAAGCAACACTCGGGACCTATCCAATCCCTGACAGGCAGAGCCCGCCATCAAAGCCAGGAAGAAGGGGACCACCAGCAAGCTGATGAAGGAACCCCAACCACCTATTTACACCACTACCCGATTGAGGCCTTACCCAGTTGCTGGGAAACCAGAGGTGACCAATGCGATAGATCCCTGAACACCCCTAGTGGGCTTGAACCCAGCACCCGATCTACTTCGTTTGCCCGTCCAGCCCAACATCACTGCCAGGCCATCAGGGTTTCCCAAAAGGAGGCAGGAATAGAAGTGGGTCCCACCCGGATGAACCTATCCACCAAAGGTGGCGACACCCTTTGCTCAATTGAAGTTCCAGGGAGAACTCCCCACACTCTAGATAACCATACCTTCCGGTCTCAGAGACAGGGATTGGCCGATGGAGTGCGCCCAGCCGTTACCCTCACACTGCGGAAAGTTACGCTCCCCTTGAGTGTCCCCGTGAGCTTACGGGTACTTGCCCGATTTCACCCCCAGGAAAGGCTACTTCCAAAGTCGAGGATATGCCACACAGAATGCTGGTCGCACAGAGCAAGCAGGCCGAAGCCCAAAGAACCATAGTCACAGGTAGATGGGAGATTGATGGCGCACTTCCACCTCTCCGAGAGCTAAACACCCGACAAACCTGGATGGTAGAATGTCACTGGAGGCTCCCCCTAAGGGGCTGGCGCTTACCAGACGTCCATGACTATGGCCTACTTGAAAAGCCGATACCAACACCGAGCAGTTACCTCCCCTTTGGTGGCTAGGTTTTTCACCTCCCAGGACGAGGCTACTTCCAGAGCCGAGGATATGCCTCGCAAAATGTCAGTCGAACACAACAGGTAGGACGAGCCCGAAGAACTCAAGTCACAACCACAGTTACAGGTAGGTGAGGAGAGGCGGCCGAAGCGGCATCACTGAGAGCTAAACACCCCACCACCCTGAATGGAAGGAGTGTCACTGGAGGCTCCCCCTAAGGGGCTGGCCAACTCTTGACAGTGTGAAGACAAAGACTCTAAATTTTGTAACCATCATCCATCTTGTAAAATTACTAAGGACAAATTTTCATTGGACAATTTGGACAATTATTAAGTGTGAGGGTAACGGCTGGGCGCACTCCATTAGCCAATCCCTGTCTCTGAGACCGGAAGGTATGGTTATCTAGAGTGTGGGGAGTTCTCCCTGGAACTTCAATTGAGCAAAGGGTGTCGCCACCTTTGGTGGATAGGTTCATCCGGGTGGGACCCACTTCTATTCCTGCCTCCTTTTGGGAAACCCTGATGGCCTGGCAGTGATGTTGGGCTGGACGGGCAAACGAAGTAGATCGGGTGCTGGGTTCAAGCCCGCTAGGGGTGTTCAGGGATCTATCGCCTTGGTCACCTCTGGTTTCCCAGCAACTGGGTAAGGCCTCGATCGGGTAGTGGTGTAAATAGGTGGTTGGGGTTCCTTCATCAGCTTGCTGGTGGTCCCCTTCTTCCTGGCTTTGATGGCGGGCTCTGCCTGTCAGGGATTGGATAGGTCCCGAGTGTTTAGCCCAGTCAATAAATGTTTTTTATCGCAACTAAATGGTGGAAAGCTGGATTTTTTATATGTGATAGAACCACATGAGAGGTGTATTTTCCCAAAAGTCCCCACTTCTAGCCCTTGAGCTTTCCCCCCCACCCCCCTCCAAACCTAGAAATTGCAGTGTTTTACTTAATTGATCATAATTCGAATGATATGTAAGCTATTGAGCTGCAATTTGTTTTGTTTTATTTCTGATTAGTGTTCCTACAACTTTTGTTTTTATAACATTTGTCTAAAACCAATACTCAGGGAGATATAGAATTTAAACTTCGTTAAAAGTGTTTTTTTAGAGTGCAAAATTTTTTTTCTCTATGTATACTTTTAAATAGAAATAATACGCAAATATGGTCCAAGCAAAAGTTTTAGTACGTTTTTCAAGGTTTACAAATATATTATTGGTTAGTCATCTAGGTGACAGGGTGAAGAGCTGGGCGTCGGCAAAGAGAGCGCGTGCGGGGTAGTTGAACACCTCTGCGCTGCGTCATCGCATCTAGCCCAGCCAATAAACGCACAAACTGCCTTTTTTCGTAGCTAAATAGTGGAAAGCTTAGTTTGTTATATGTGATGGAACCACTTAAGACGTGTATTTTAAAAAAGTTCCCGATTCTCCCCCTTGAGCTTCCCCCCCCCTCAACCCCCTCGAAACCTGGAAATTACAGTCGTTCACTTTACTGGATATAAATCAAATTCTACGCATGCCATCATAGTGAAATTTGATTTGTATTATTTAATTTAGTTTATCTACATCTTTTGTACTAAAGGTTTTCTTATAAAACTATATCCAATGAGATATAGCATTTTAACTTTGTTTGATAATGTTTAAGTTTTAGAGTACACAATTTTGTTTTACCCGCAATATATTTTTTTTTCAAAAACAAATACGCAAAATGTGTCAGAAACAAAATTTTAGTATGTTTCTTAAGGTTTATGAATATATATGGTTAGTCAACTGAAAAAAGCTTATGTAGTATGGGCGTCGGCAAAGACAGCGCGTGCAGGCTTCTTAAAACAGCAGCACAGCCCTGCCCGTCGATGCATAATAAGGACTGGCACCGCTAAGTTCTCAACTGTTTCATACAAATTCTAAGACTTCCTAATTTGTACCCTACTTTACTACCAAAACAATCTGTTTCCAAGCAGCACCTCGCGGTCAGTGAAAAAGTTTTCGTCGACCCACAAATCCTTGATACAAACTGCCTCCTATCATTGATATGCCCCTCTCTTCACGCTTCCCACTAGCAAGGGTTAGCTTTCTGCTCTGCCATGAGTTTTGTAAGCCTGTGTTAAA